CCAGATGGACTTTGGACTTCTCAGCCTCAGAAAGTGTATGCAATAAATTTCATTTTCTTTATAAATCACCCAGCTCAGTGTACTTTGTTATAAGCAACAAAAATGGAGCAGTACAATAGGCTATGGTTAACAGCACAAACTGTCTGGGTTTAAATCTGGCCTTAACCATTTACTAGCCAGCAAACTCAGGCAAACAACTTAAGTGTGCCATACCAGTCTTCTCATCTGTAAAATTAGGATAATAATAATATGTACTTATGATGAGTACTCAATTAGTACACATTCATAAGGCATTTAGAAGAGTGCCTGGTTTATGGAAAAGGCTACATAAATGTTTGACCACTTACAATGAATGCATAGTAATCTGCTATGTAAAAATATAGTCCCTACGTAAAAAGGAACAATTCACATGAAAATACCTAATCCTGTATGTATAGTTACTCACGTCAAAATATATATATATATATATAAAAAGACAGAATTACAAAAAAATATGTTAACCCGTAATCATAATGGAAGACTTTACCACACTTCTATCAATCACTAAATAAGGCTAAAAGAAAAACAATCTGAACATATGTACTATATTTGAAAATACAATTAGGTTGTGTTAATGTGTATACACCCTATATCCAAATATGAGAGAATATGGATTGTTTTCAAAGAAACATGAAACATGGATAAATGTTTACCAGTCAGATACTGCGTTTAGCTGGGTTAACAGAACTACCACCTCAAAAAGAAATAACAGGTTACTTTGGCTTTGACTGGTTAGGGGTTACTTTTAATCATGTAAGTTGAGCGTAAGAACAAGCATTGCAGAGCTGATGCAGCCAATCAGACGATTTTGGGGATGTGGGGGGTGAGGAAAATAACTGTGATTTTTTGCTACACTGTGGTTTTTGTCATCATGGTGAAAAAAATAGCCCTCCAAACTCTAGACCTTGAGGCCACTTTCCAAAGGAAAGAATGGGAAAGTAGAATAAAGAATAGGTAAGAACAAGACAGATGGTGCCCCTTCCAGTGACTTCTATCTATGTTTCATGGCCATCAGAGTTGCACAAAACCTGTTTGGGCTTTGGGAAGGACTTGCACATTGAGTATTTTCAATACTGCTCATAGACAACTTCAACAACAAAATTTTTTTCTTTCTTTAATAAGTAGGAGAATGAACATTGAGAACGAAGTTAACAGTACTTGCCATATTAGCACAGAAAGAGAAAACAAAATCAATATATTAAAGTTCACGTACTCTGGCAAAAACACCATTAAATTACAAAAAAGTGTATTACAAATATTGTCTAATTTCCATTATGATAAACTAAACCATGCAGGAACTATTCAGAAATGCCTTTGTTGATTATTTATTTTTGGCAGCTGGCTGGTACAGGGATCAAACCCTTGTAAATACCTTTTTGAAAAGGCAATGTATTGTTGCTTTTAGATAGCAAATCATAATAAATATATTGAATGAAGACTATGAAATGTAAGTTAGTGTTTATTTTAGGGAATAGCTATAGATGTAAATGTTTATATCCAAACAAAAAAAGATGTAAAACTAATGAACTAGTGGGCTGATCTGCAGATGAGACACTGACAAAGGTAATCCCAAATGTTATAAACCCCACACCCATAACGTTTATATTTTTTATTCCTGGTATAAATTTCTTTGTGGCCACTCACTGATGAGCTGAGGGTGAGGCATCCCAACGTTGATTACATCCCTAGGGTTTTCCTCCAGTATGTGTCCTTACAACAAAGAGAGGAATCGCTGAAAAAATTTTCAAAATTTGTATCCTTGTAGGTTTTGCATCCAGGGAGAATTTTCATATTCTTTCTAACATAGAGGCATCATTGAAGGCTTTCTTTCATTCTTTATATTCACAAGATTCCTAATGAATGTAGAAAAATGGGAATTCTCTGCAATACTGGTGACATTCAATGAGACTTTCTCACCAGAATGAATTCCCTCATCTTAAAAACTGAGACAATATTCAAGGGTTTCCCATAGTTACTGTAGTTAGAGTACCTCACTGTCTTCTGCTGAGTAATATGTGAACGCTTGTACTTTAGTGTTTACCACATTTCTTACATGAGAGCTCCTCTGTTGTATGATTTCCCATGTGTGTCTTAAAGGCGGAGTGTCCCTGAGGCTTTTACATTTCTGATGACCTCCACAGAGTTTCTGCCTTAGAGTAAACTGTCATGTGACCCCATAGAGATGTCACTGAAGGCTTTCCTATTACTATTCCATTCCTCAGGTTTCCCCCAGTACATATTTTGGGCACAATAGGGTTCTCTCCAGAGTGAATTAAGAAGAGAGTTATTGAATGGTATTTCATGTTGATGAAATTAAAAGGATGAGGGTGTGCTGAAGGCTTTTCTTCGTTAAGTTCGTGGCAAGTTTCCTGGATGATTCTCAGTGATCTGTCCCGTGGTATTCATACCTTGTGCAGTCTTCTCCCATACCATATCAGGATTAGTCTGTGCAACCAATACAATAGTGAAGAAATGAAAATATGTCCTTCTGAGGCTAGGTCATAAGACACTGTGGCTTCTGCATTGGCCCTCTCTCAGATCACCTGCTTTGGTGGGTGGGTCGGGGGGACTTGCTGCCATATTGTAACGAAACTCAGCCCTGTGGATGGGCCTAAATGGTGGGAAACTGAAGATCCCCTGCCAATAACCAGCATTAACTCTCCGCGAATGTGAATGAGTCATCCTGAAAGTGGACCCTCCATTAGTAAAGACTTTAGAGGACTGCAGCTCAGGCTGACATCTTGACTGCAACCTAATGAGAGACCCTCAGACAGAACTACAGAACTAAGCCATTTCTGAATTCCTAGGGAAATTATAATAATAAAAGTTTGTTATATGAAGCCACTTTTTGGGGAGTAATTTGTTAGGCAGCAACGGATAACTTATACATCCAGTGTGAGTTCTCTCATGTTGTCTTACAGACAAGATCAATGAGCACTTTCCCACAGAAATTCCCACAGTAGCTCATATCCACCTATTATGTATACTCTTGTGCACAGAAAGGTAAGAGTTACTAGTAAAAGATTTTCCACAATGATTACACTTATAGGGTTTTTCTCTGGTGTGAGTTCTCAAGTGTTTCTTAACAGCTGAGGGATTATTAAAGGCTTTCCCACAGTCACTGCATTCATAGGGTTTCTCTCCTGTATGTATTCTCTTGTGCATGGTAAGAGAAAAACTACTGCTGAAGGATTTTCCACACTCACTACATTCATAGGGTTTTTCTCCAGTATGAGTTCTCATGTGCTGTGTCAGATATGAGCTCTTCCTGAAGGTTTTCCCACAGTCATGGCATTTGTAAGGTTTCTCTCCTGTATGAATGGTATTGTGCCCAGTAAGGGAGGACCTTGTGCTGAAAGCCTTGCCACACTGATTACATTCATGGTGATTCTCCCTCGTATGAATTCTCTTGTGGCTTTTGAGATTGCAACTAGTGCGAAAGACATGAAAACACTGGTTACATTCATAAGGTTTTTCTCCAGTGTGAATTCTCATCTGGAGTCTAAGGGATGAGGGATCACTAAATGCTTTCCCACAGTGATTGCACTCATAGGGTTTCTCCCCATTATGGATTCTCTTATGAATAGCAAGGTAATATCTACTGCTGAAGAATTTTCCACATTGATTGCAGTAATAGGGTTTTTCTCCAGTATGAATTCTTTTGTGCTGAGTAAGGTTAGATTTTGTGCTGAAGACTTTAAAACACTGATTACATTCATTGAGTTTCACTCCAGGGTAACTTCTTTCCTGTTGATTAAGAGATTAATGACAACTACAATTTATAATGTTTTTAATATTTAATACTGTCATGTGAATTCTCTCCCAGGAATTCTGTTACATTACTATAATTGATGTTTTGGCTACTTTCAATGCTTATATATGGCTTCTCCCCAGTTTAAATTCCCAGAAGTAAAATAATAGATGCTTTTCCACAGTCCTTACCATATTCTCAAAACATTTTCCAATAAATTTAAGACCAATTTATGTTTCAAACAGTCACATTTAAGGAAATATTTACTTGTGAAAACTCTCAGTGAAGAAACAAGTTTGGAACTAATACTTTTCTCCAAATTCAGAAGAGTTTCACAGTATCTCTCCAGGGTCAACACTCTCTGAAGTGTAAATGGCAC